AGGGCAGTAGGATAAATGGGGGCAGCATCACAGGAGGGGGGCAGTGGGATAGATGGGGCACAGCGTCACAGGAGGGCGGCAGTGGGATAGATGGGGGCAGCATCACAGGAGGGGAGCAGAGGGATAAATGGGGGGCAGTGGGATAGATGGGGGCAGCATCACAGAAGGGGGCAGTTGGATAGATGGGGGGGGACAGCGACACATGAGAGGGGCAGTGGGATAGATGAGGGGGCAGTGGGATAGATGGGGGGGCAGCATCACAGGAGGAGGGCAGTGGGATAGATGGGGGGAGAGCGACACATGAGAGGGGCAGTTGAATAGATGGGGGGCAGTGGGATAGATAGGGGGGCAGTGGGATAGATGGGGGGCAGTGGGATAGATAAGAGGGGGCAGTGGGATAGATAGGGGGCAGCATCACAGGAGAGGGGCAGTGGGATAGATGGGGGGGGGGGACAGCGTCACATTAGAAGGGCAGTGGGATAGATGGGGGGCAGTGGGATAGATAGTGGGGCTGCATCACAGGAGGGGGGCAGTAAGATAGATGGGGGGGCAACATCACAGGAGGGTGGCAATGGGATAGATGGGGGTGACAGCGTCACATGAGAGGAGCAGTGGGATAAATGGGGGCAGTGGGATAGATGGGGGTCGTGGGATAAATAGGAGGGGGGTAATGGGATAAATAGGAGGGGGGCAGTGGGACAGCTTTCACTTGTCCAGCAGCTTCATTGGAGAGGATCTTGTGGTAGGAGGGGTAGCTGACCTGCAGCCTGGTTGTTGAGGTCGATGGCAGGTGGGGTTGGCCTTATGCTGCAAGTGGGGCTGTCCGCTGTTACACAGTGACTCCTGATGACCCCAGTGACTCCGGTCCTTTGGTGGGGAGCGCCGCTGCAGTTGAAGGTTGTATTGATGGGTTCCAACATGTGGTTGGCCATCCTCTAAGCCCTGCAGCGGTCAGCCGTGTCCTCCACTCTATGGGCTCTCCAGGGGTGGGGGGTGGCTGTGTGGTGGGGGGCGTGCCTGCAGTGTCCTCCCTGGGGCTGTGCAGGACTCCTCTGCTCTGCTCTGCCTGGACTATGCATGGGGAGGGATGGGGGGGGGAGACTCTGGAGGTCCTGAAACACTGAGCTGGGGTCCACACTCGCCCTCATGTTGTTTCCACTTGCCAACTGCAAGCAGGCGAGTGGAAATTTTGAGGCCTGGTGTAAAGGCTTATGAAAATTCAAATCTCATCAATTACCTGGGGTCATTATTCCAAAATTTAACCAAACCAAATATAAACATAAGTGAGAAAAGGGATTTTTAGGAAGACCACCAGGGAAAGTACAAATAGAATACTGTTTTACAAAACACTCAACAAAATGAACCATATTGTTTATAATTAACATTTAAAACTCCATTCTTGCTAATAAAATCATTGGAAGCACAAGATTTACAACAATTGTGCCCTAATCCAAGTGTTAGTCTACATGTTTTTTGCAGGTACGCTGCTTCTTCAAGACTATAGGTACAGTATCTCACAGAAGTGAGTCCACCCCTCACATTTTTGTGGATATTTTATTCTATCTTTTCATGTGACAACACTGAAGAAATGACACGGTGCTACAATGTAAAGTGAACAGCTTGTATAACAGTGTAAATTTGCTGTCCTCTCAAAATAACTCAACACACAGCCATTAATGTCTAAACCGCTGGCAACAAAAGTGAGTACACCCCTAAGTGAAATTGTCCAAATTGGGCCCAATTAGTCATTTTCCCTCCCCGGTGTCATGTGACTCATTAGTATTACAAGGTCTCATGTGTGAATTGGGAGCAGCTGTGTTAAATTTGGTGTTATCACTCTCACTCTCTTATACTGGACACTGAAAGTTCAACATGGCACCTCGTGGCAAAGAATTCTCTGAGGATCTCAAAAAAAGATATAAGAAGATTGCCAAGACCCTGAAACTGAGCTGCAGCACGGTGGCCAAGACCATACAGGTTCCACTCAGAACAGGCCTCGCCATGGTCGACCAAAGAAGTTGAGTGCACGTGCTCAGCGTCATATCCAGAGGTTGTCTTTGGGAAATAGAAGTATGAGTGCTGCCAGCATTGCTGCAGAGGTTGAAGGAGTGGGGGGGGAGGGGTCAACCTGTCAGTGCTCAGACCATACGACGCACACTGCATCAAATTGGTCTGCATGGCTGTCGTCCCAGAAGGAAGCCTCTTTTAAAGATGATGCACAAGAAAGCCTGCAAACAGTTTGCTGAAGACAAGCAGACTAAGGACATGGATTACTGGAACCATGTCCTGTGGTCTGATGAGACCAAGATCAACTTATTTGGTTCAGATGGTGTTAAGCGTAATTGACGGCAACCAGGTGAGGAGTACAAAGACAAGTGTATCTTGCCTACCGTCAAGCATGGTGGTGGGAGTGTCATGGTCTGGGGCTGCATGAGTGCTGCCGGCACTGGGGAGCTACAGTTCATTGAGGGAACCATGATTGCCAACATGTACTGTGACATACTGAAGCAGAGCATGATCCCCTCCCTTCGGAGACTGGGCCGCAGGGCAGCATTCCAACATGATAACGACCCCAAACACACCTCCAAGACAACCACTGCCTTGCTAAAGAAACTAAGGGTAAAGGTGATGGACTGGCCAAGCATGTCTCCAGACCCTAAACCTTATTGAGCATTGGTGGGGCATCCTCAAATGGAAAGTGGAGGAGCGCAAAGTCTCTAACATCCACCAGCTCCGTGATTTTGTCATGGAGGAATGGGAAGAGAACTCCATTGGCTACCTGTGAAGCTCTGGTGAACTCCATGCCCAAGAGGGTTAAGGCAGTGCTGGAAATAATCGTGGCCACTCATACTCACTTTTGTTGCCAGCGGTTTAGACATTAATGGCTGTGTGTTGAATTATTTTGAGGCGACAGCAAATTTACACTGTTATACAAGCTGACCAACTCACTACTTTACATTGTAGCAAAGTGTAATTTCTTCAGTGTTGGCACATGAAAAGATAGAATCAAATATTTACAAAAATGTGAGGGGTGGATTCACTTCAGGGAGATACTGTATGTCTAGGACATGAATATGGTGGAAAGAATAATGCATCCACAATAAGGACAAAAAGTTCAACCTATATCTAAGAATCTTCAATAATACAATCCAGTAGTGAACAACACACAAAAAAAGAAGTGAAGGAAAACTGCCATAAAAAAAAAAAACATGAACATACTGCAAATGAACACACACTCAAAAAATTTGAATATCGTACAAAAGTTCATTTATTTCAGTAATGCAACTTAAAAGGTGAAACTAATATATGAGATAGACTCATTACATGCAAAGCAAGATAGTTCAAGCCGTGATTTGTCATAATTGTGATGATTATGGCTTACAGCTCATGAAAACCCCAAATCCACAATCTCAGAAAATTAGAATATTGTGAAAAGGTGCAATATTCTCGGCTCAAAGTGTCCCACTCTAATCAGCTAATTAAACCATAACACCTGCAAAGGGTTCCTGAGCCTTTAAATTGTCTCTCAGTCTGGTTCAGTAGGAATCACAATCATGGGAAAGACTGCTGACCTGACAGTTGTGCCGAAAACCATAATTGACACCCTCCATAAGGAGGGAAAGCCTCAAAAGGTAATTGCAAAAGAAGTTTGATGTTCCCAAAGTGCTGTATCAAAGCACATTAATAGAAAGTTATGTGGAAGGGAAAAGTGTGGAAGAAAAAGGTGCACAGGCAGCAGGGATGACTGCAGCCTGGATAGGATTGTCAGGAAAAAGCCGATCAAAAGTGTTGGGGACTTTCACAAGGAGTGGACTGAGGCTGGAGTCAGTGCATCAAGAGCCACCACACACAGACGGATCCTGGACATGGGCTTCAAATGTCATATTCCTCTTGTCAAGCCACTCCTGAACAACAAACAATGTCAGAAGCGTCTTACCTGGGCTAAAGAAAAACAGACCTGGTCTGTTGCTCAGTGGTCCAAAGTCCTCTTTTCTGATGAGAGCAACTTTTGCATCTCATTTGGAAACCAAGGAACCAGAGTATGGAGGAAGAATGGAGGAACACACACTGCAAGATGCTTGAAGTCCACTGTGAAGTTTCCACAGTCTGTGTTGATTTGGGGAGCCATGTCATTTGTTGGTGTTGGTCCACTGTGCTTCATTAAGTCCAGGGTCAACGCAGCCGTCTACCAGGAGATTTTGGAGCACTTCATGCTTCCTTCCGCAGACGAGCTTTATGGGGATGCTGACTTCATTTTCCAGCAGGACTTGGCACCTGACCACACTGCCAAAAGCACCAAAACCTGGTTCAATGACCGTGGGATTACTGTGCTTGATTGGCCAGCAAACTCGCCTGACCTAAACCCCATAGAGAATCTGTGGGGCATTGCCAAGAGAAAGATGAGATACATGAGACCGAACAATGCAGAAGAGCTGAAGGCCGCTATTGAAGCATCCTGGTCTTCGATAACACCTCAGCAGTGCCACAGGTTGATGGCTTCCATGCCACGCCGCATTGAGGCAGTAATTGCTGCAAAAGGGGCCTAAACCAAGTACTGAGTACATATGCATGCTTATACTTTTCAGAGGTCTGATATTGTTCTATGTACAATCCTTTTTTTATTGATTGCATGTAATATTCTCATTTTCTGAGATTATGGATTTGAGGTTTTCATGAGCTGTAAGCCGTAATCATCACAATTATGACAAATCACGCCTTGAACTATCTTGCTTTGCATGTAATGAGTCTATCTCATATATTAGTTTCACCTTTTAAGTTGCATTACTGAAATAAATGAACTTTTGCACAATATTATAATTTTTCAAGTTTCACCTGTATATCACTTGAACTTCAAACATTCCACATTACAATGCAGCATGAGACTTTACCACCACTTGGCAAGGAGCAAGACGCACAGAATACAAGAGAGCAAAATGAAGAAGAAAGGAAGGTTAGGTTAGCATTAGGTGTCAGTTGTGTTGCATTATATTAATTCTTACTTGCATTCCAATCACGGCGTAGATGAAAAACAGCATTACAATGAGTAGCGCCACATAGGGAAGAGCCTGTAGAAAACCAGAAATACAGATATGGTCAAAAAGAACAAAATCTGCAAGAATTCAGCTATAGAGCAACCATTTGTCCTCTAAGTAAATTTAGGTGGTAAGAGAGCACACAGACTGACCTAACTACTAGTGCCAGGCTGTGTTATTTTCACATCCTGAGATCTAAAGGAGCTTTATGACCCATACTGTTGGAAGTAGAGATGCGCACAATGGAAACATTTGTTTAGTTTCGGATTCATCCATCAAGTTAATAATTCCATTTAGTCATATTCGTTATATGAGAATGATTCGTTTTCGTAATTCATTTCCCATATTTGGATTTGTTTTTTTGTATATTCATTATTTTTAAATCGATTCGACATGACTCAGAGACCAAGGGAATCACATATGGAGGATTCAAATATCATAGTTTGTCGCATCATTTTAGGGTTTATCATAATAGGGATCCAACATCTTTAAAATTCTGTGGGATAGATAGGATTGATGCCCCATGGAGAGGGGATGATATGGTTAAAAGTATTTCTCAAAATAAAACAAAATGGATCTATCAGATGGGGAACATTGATCCTTGAAGGGTTAAACGCAGAGATTGACATTAACTGTTATTTATCTAACTGGTAGCTTTATCCGAGTGCAATTTAATTGTTATAGGTGGGTATGCATACAGAGGGAACAATATTTATTTTTATTTTTACTTTTACTTAATTTTATTTTTAATTGAATTTTTTTTATTTAATTTTTTTTTTTATTTTATTTTAATTAATTTTCTTTATTATTAATTTTTTATTTTATTTATATATATATATATATATATATATATATATATATATATTTTTTTTTTTTTTTTTTTTGTTTATTTTTGTGGTATTTGTTTCCTCAAGATTATATATACACATCCATACTATAATATATAATGTATAAGATATATTATATATTTTAATTTACTTTATTTTTATTTTCCTCTTTTTTGTTGTTCATATCTTGTTGATATATATATAATTTTTGGTGATATGTTTTTATGTTCATTTGTATGTCTCAGGTCTCTTAATGAGTTTTGGGTATGGTTGGTTCAAGATTATAATAAAGTTGTGTGGAGGTGAACTAACGATTAGAAGAGATCTGAGCTATTCAATTTGATACCATTGTGAAGAAATCTCACGGGGTGTGAACAAGGGATGACAGTTAATAGTTTATATATTTGTCTTAATTGACCTGTGGGAGAGGGAGAGAAGGGGAGGGACCTTGTATTGTTATTTAAGCGGCTTGAGACTGGAGGTGTGTGTCTTGAGAACGCCCTGTGGATGGGGGCGAAACACGTGACGCATTTCCGGTCTGCCGCCCTGACGTCCCGCGTCACTTCCGGTGAGTGGAACACACGCCGAGCGGTGCGTTCCAAGCGGCCATTTTTGGAGCTGTATCCTGTCATCCCTTGCTACAACCAGGCTATGAGGTCTCTGGTATGAGGAGTGGAATTAGTGGAACTCATTTAAGCCTATGGAGGCAATAAAAGAGATGCTTTTATTCATCTTAACAAATATGAGTGGTCTGGCAATTTTTACCAAATATTGCACTTTTTACTAGCAGTATTACACTATTATATACCTCTTTCCCTTGCACTGCTGTGGAGTTTGGTGAGAGGAGAAGGCAGGAGTGAGTGGAAGAGAATACTATATGGTGGGAAGGAGCCCTGAAAGCTTATAAAGGGGGTCTAGGAGTCCATAACATCCTAAAAGGCGCATTACTCACCATCATCCGGTGAGTGCTGTTGATGTTGATTTTTCACTGGTGATTGGTGGAAGCATTATCTCATCTGGATATTTATTTTTTTCACAACCTATTGGGGAGAAAGGACTTTTCTTCTATTTTTAATTTGGACACTATAATATGAATGATATTTTTAATTTGGGCACTATAATATGTATGATATTTTTTGGAAAGCCACTTTAATCAATTAATTTGAATATCCTATTTCTGTTGACTTCTACATTGTATTTAAGGCATTGTTTGAATTAGGGGGTTGATTTGCGGTGTTTTTTTTGTTTTTTTTTAAAATGAATCATACATGTCTAGGTGGAAGTGGGTCTCATAAATGCCCAACCAGGCCCCTGAATCATTATATTCCTACCCCAGCCCCAGAGCAACTTGAAATGTTGCTCACTATGTCATGTGATCAGATCGGTACCTAGGAAGGGGCATGTCTTGGCTCTGATGCGCTGCATTACCTGGAAGGACTTGATGAAGGTCCAGAGCAGGGTGCGGATCCCCTCTCCTCGGCTGAGAAGCTTCACCAGACGCATGACTCGAAAGAGCCTGAAGAATGTGATAGAGATTCTGGAGTTCTCCTCACCCTGCTAGAATATACAGCGGACATGGGTTATAGCGAATACCGCAGCAAGCAATGTGGACACCCACATTGTGAAAGATGCCACTGCCTATTATACTCTTATTTGTGCCCTGCCCTACCAACATCTGAGGTCTAGGTTTAACAACCTCAAATCCTAGCTATCTTGCAGTCTGAGCAACTCTGCAGCAACAGCTGCCTGAGCAGCAACTATGTGTATTAAAAGTACTAAAACTACCAATTCCCTGGGAAAAGCCATCACAAAGGATAGCTCAGGGATCTTGATGACTTTTAGGAAGTCTGCCTAGTTATCTAGCCAATAGCACACTGCCATGGCAGAATATTGAGATTGTTGAGTGTAAATATAACATGATAATGTTTTGCATTCCTTAAAGAACCCTAAATAAACCCTATGCCTCAATCACATATTAAAATAAAACTGTCAGGTTACAAATATCTGTGCTGCATTTGCCGACTTATTTTTCAGGATGCATGTTCCAGGGCTATCATCTTATTTCCTTCTTTTTAGTGATTCTTTGACCCAAAACAAGCACCTGTCCCGGGTCACTGCCTCCCTGAGCAGTAAAGGAAGGATCTAATTTATGGCTCTGGAACATGTTTCTTGAAAAACAAGTCAGCAATGGTAACTATTTTTATTCCTTGCAGGCTCTTATTAAATCAAGAAACTAGAGTTTGCATTGCTGACTAATCTAAGTATTGCCAACCTACCTCTGTTCGATCAAGAGATCCTAGGCCAACGCTGTCACCCAAATCTTCAAATATCCAGGGCAGTGCTAATCTACAGCAGACCAGAATGCACTGGGATTAGGGAGTGGTTGGCAATACTGTAGGTCTCCAACCCCAATACAGAGGGAGATAAAACAAAAATCCTTTTTTTTTTTCAATATTGATTTAAAGGCAGCCATGTATGCAGCATAAATCCTATTAATTTGCTTGTTCCTAGCAATACCACTCAGGAACAAAAAGTATTGTTTCTTAGTGGAGTACCCAGGATCTAGAAAATTGATTGTCTGAAAGGTGCTGAATAATGGTCAACAAAATTGTTATGACAAAAAGACAGGTTCTCTTTAGTAGCCTATGTTTACTTCCTAGTCTCTCCCCTATTATTTCTGTTCATCCTGCTTTGTGCAGAACATGGGACTACATGTGACTACATCTAAAGTATAAGCAACAAACAAAAATGCATATATTTCCCTAAATTTAATATAAAGCTAGACACTAAGTCTATACCACCCTAGTATTCATGTAACCCCAATCCCCAACTACTACCCCAACACAGAGCTTCTGCAAAGAAAAAAAACATAAAAAAAGAGGACAGAACCGCTAAGTTTTTTTGCTGACGACGTGCCAGGCTGTTAACACCTTGCACTCCAGAAAATGCCAGACAGCGTTGGACAGTTATGAATAATTAGATGTCTTGCGAGCTACAGAGTGGCTGCTTACCACAATTTGTCTCAATTACCTTAACATCTTTTTGAAGACATGGAGATGGCCAACCTGGACTGCTTCTTAAATTGTTATAAATTCCCAGTGTCTGAATTGGTTCTTGTAAATTGTTTTGATTAATTTTGAGATAAAATGTTCCATAAAGATCTAGATTTAAATTGGACCTACTGTATATCCTAAAGTATATACCTACAGTATGTTATCAAATGTTTTGGGATGGAGAAACACAAAATAGCAGAAGACTAAAATATTTGACTGTTGTGAAGAAAATGCTGCTCCAGGCTCCCTCCTGTGCTAATCACGTCTTAGGGGAAAATAGGCATGTGGACATGTGATCTCTGCTAAATGTAAATAAACTGACATGTAAATCAGCTGTGCTATCAGAAAGTAGATCAAGGTTGTGATTAGTACCCTGAAGTCTACAACAAAATATTGGTTCAGACTAAAAATGGCTGTTAACATGTACATGAGAGTAGCAGGACCACTTTAATATGTAAAGATATTGCAAAGGTTTGATGTATGTGTCAACTATTCAAATTTGTAGGGAGAAGAAAGCAATCTTTAACCTTTTTTGGCACACTTTAATAAATTTGTTTGAAAAATATGCATTTAGACTGACTGATGAACAAAGCCTATCTGTCAATTGTCCACCATTTAAATCCTGTGACCCCTGGTTCATTTCTGTGGCCTCTGATTACTTCCTGTGGCCCTGGTTAATTCCTGCAGCCTCTGGTTAATTGTCGTGGGCTCTGGTTAATTGCTCTGGTCTATGGTTAATTCCTGTGACATCTGGGTAAATCCTATATCCTCTGGTTAATTCCATATTGTCTCTGGTTAATTCCTATGATCCCTGATTAATTAATTGGCCTCTGGTTGATTCCTGGAACCTCTTAAATTTTTAAGACCTCTACTTAATTCATATGACCTCTTATTAGATCCTATGGCCCATGGCTAATTCTTTTGGCCTTTGGTTGATCCTGTGACTTAAATTTCTATGGCCTCTAGGTCATATCATGTCCCCATGTTAATTCTTTGGTCCTTTGTTAACCCCTATGGTCCTTGGTTATTTCCCATGGCCCGTGGTGATATGGTTAATTCTTATAGCCCCTAGTTAATTCCTGTAGTCCCTGGCTAATTCTTATAGCCCCTCGTTAATACCTTTGGTCGTTGGTTAATTCCTGTGGTCCCTATTGAAGTCCTATGGCCATATTCTCTGAATAGCCCTGAATCTAAATCCTCCCAGAAGCATTTCTTGGTTATAAGTACAGTTCTCTGCACTTGACACTGGAGGGCCTATAGCATAGAGTCAAGTAACAACATGTTGCTGTTCTACCAGGAAACCCCTGTAAAAAAAAGCCTGCTGTTGTGCATTATACAAAACTTGACTGGATGAAAACTGGATGTTTTTTTTTTTCTTTACTACTGCAACTTAAATGTTTTCAGGACAGCTTTTGAGGACATTTGAAAGATCACAGTCATAGATTGTGAGGACGTCCAATTGGACAGTTTCATGAGCTCTTATTCTGGAGCTTTAAACAATGACTGCCTTTTGTCTGCAACAAAAACTCTGACGATTCTGTCCTCTCCCGGTTAATCTGGCTTAAAGTTTAGCCAACTTTCATTTTGTCTGCCAAACTTGCCCAAGCGGAGGAGGAGTCCAAGAGAAAGCTTACAAGGTACAGAAATTAATACACAATAAACCACACAAGATCACATTTCAAGAGACACAAGTACAACATGGCGGCCAAAGGGCATGCACAGAGACTAGACAAGGATCGGAGATAGAAGAGCCCTGAGGTCAGGGGGGCACACAGCTGTGACACGTGTGTCAGAGGAGAAAATAAAAGTGGGGGCACAGTGCTCTGAACGGATCTTGGTCTTACCATATTGTGGCATTGAGAGTGTTCACCTGTCTTTAAAGAAAGGCAGACAGAGGTAAGATGTAATACCGGCTAAATCCACACGGGGGCACAGTACAGCAATATGATTAACAATGAGGTGGGGTGGGGGGTGGGGTAGCAGGACAAGAGAAGGGGGGGGGGGTAGATAGAAAGGACAGTAGCAAATTTGGGACAAAATACAATCAAATTATTAACCCTGTACAATTCTGGAGTTTGGATCTCTATGAGGCCTGCAACAAAATTGCTGCAACTACAACACTCATCTGCCATATAGGCTGGATGGACTTGTGATGAATGTGGTTTAAATCTGCTGCCAAAAGAAGTTACCCAAGAGATGGAGGACTTTTTAAAAGGTGGCCAGTTAACTTGCTACAATGTGGCCAGACAACTTACTACAAGGTGGCCAGTCAACTTGCTACAGTGTACCCAATCAAATTTCTATAATGTGGCCATAAGAATGCAGAAAGGTTCTTTATTGAGAAAAAGTCATATCCTAGCTTAGAACACCAATGGTGATTTTAAACAGCCTGGTCAAACTTCTTAAAATCACTACTACATAAGTACATGTGTGAAACAAATGGCTCCCTATAAAATGAGGTACACAAGTAGAATGCAGAAATGATGAACATACTAATGAATGATGTGGGAGCTTAAAGCGATCCAAAAAAATAATCCAATAAAAGATTCCTGCAAGTACTTAACTGTCTGGCAAACAAATCAGAGCTTTGTCTTCAAACGCTAATGCCTCCGGCAGATGAATGATGCACTGTGGGGGATGTAGGCATTTGACATTCCCAGAAATGTTGCATGCTGAAGACTTTGCTGGCGGCAGTAGTGTTAGAAGATAGCAGAATTTGGAGATATTATTTAGTGTCTTCTATTACTGGATTTTTCTTTAAGGGTCAAAGTTTCCTAAACTGCTACTTCTTGCTACCTGTATACCGTATTCCATAGGGAGCCATTTTCTCCATAACTGTAGCGAATGATCACTACTCATAATCACAATCAATCACTAGCAATTTCAGAAGTGCGAAAATGCTGCTTTAAAGGGCATCTGTGGGAACAAAATTAGGTGCTGCTTTTTGTTTAAAGGTGCAGGGACCAACACTATCCAACTTCACTTACTGCGTGCCTGTTCCAGGTCAGTGACTTACTAGTGACAGGATAAGTGGGACAGCTTCTTCCTTCTGTTTTAGAATTAGCAATAATTTCAGTTTTTTGTTGTTTTGTTTTAGCATTTTTTTTAGGTAAGGAGGGAGGCCACTTATAGCTCTCCAGCTGCTGAAGTACCAAAAGTCCCAGCATGCCTCCATGCCTGGGGCTAGAAGTTGCCCAATCTGAGTGCCACAGGGTAATGTATTTACTGGATAAACACAGTGAAAACCTAAACTTGTCAGTAAAGGGATCAACCTATTCTCCTAGATTGTAAACTCCAAGGAGCAGGGCCCTCAAATCCCTCTTGTATTGAACTGTATTGTTGCTGTATTGTCTCCCGTTATATTGTAAAGTGCTGAGAAAACTGTTGGCGCTATATAAATCCTGTATAATAATAATACTCTGAGAAGTATGGAGGTTCATAATTTTTTACCTCCATCTAAAAATGCTAATTACCTGG